CCATGTCCACGTCCCTGTTTTCCCTCTCCCTGACCCCCACGTCCCCCGTGTTGCCGTGGGTGTCCCCCCCGTGTCCCTGTGGGTGTCCCCATGGGTGTCCCCTCCCCGGTGACCCGTTGCGGTGTCGCGGCAGTTCCGGAAGAAGCGGCTGCAGTTCGGGTGGAGCCGCATCCACGAGTGGGGGCTCTTTGCCATGGAGCCCATCGCGGCCGACGAGATGGTCCTCAAGTACGTGGGGCAGAACATCCGCCAGGTCAGGACCCCCCAGGAACCCCCCAGGCACCTCCCACCCCCTCGGTGACCCTGAAGTGCCCCTTTGTCACCACCCTCAGTGACTCCCGAGTACCCCCCTGGTCTCCTCCCACCTCCCTCAGTGACCCCCAAGTACCCCCTGGTCACCTCCCACCTCCATTGGTGATCCTGAAGTACCCCCCAGTCACCTCCCACCACCCCTGGTGACCCCCAAGTACCCCCTGGTCACCTCCCGCTGCCCTTGGTGCCCCCCGGTGCCCCCCCCATGCCCCGCTGACCCCCCGGTGCCCCCTGTGCCCCCCAGGTGGTGGCGGACATGCGTGAGAAGCGCTACACCCAGGAGGGCATCGGCAGCAGTTACTTGTTCCGCGTTGACCACAACACCATCATCGATGCCACCAAGTGCGGGAACCTGGCGCGGTTCATCAACCACTGCTGGACGGTGAGATGGGGGTCCTGAGCCCTGAGGGGGCATCTGGGGGGCCCTGCTGACCCCTCCCGCCCCCACAGCCCAACTGCTACACCAAGGTGATCACCATTGAGGCGCAGAAGAAGATCGTCATCTACTCGAAGCAGGCGATTGGCGTCAATGAGGAGATCACCTATGACTACAAGTTCCCCATCGAGGACACCAAGATCCCGTGCCTGTGCTGCACCGAGAGCTACCGCGGCACCCTCAACTAGGGGTGGTGGTGGGGGGGGCTCCGGGAGGCCGGGGGAGCGACCGCGGGGATGTTGGGGTTGGCGTTGGGCCACCAGGGTCAGCATTGGGCCACCGAGGTCGGCGTTGGGCCACCGGGGTCGACGGGTGGCTGCGCCGGTTGGCGCTCGGCCGTCGGAGTTGACGTGTGGCCACTGGGGTTGGTGTTTGGCCACCGTGGTTGGTGTTCAACAGGGTTGGCGTTTGGCCACCAGGGTTGATGGGAGGGGCCACCAGAGCCGGTGTTTGGCCACCACAGTTGGCCTGGGTGGGAGGGGCCGCCGGGGTTGAGGCTGGGCCGCCATGGCCGACGTGGAGCCACAGCCACGGGCACGAGGACGCTGTGGTTGGCCAGAGAGGGGCCAACCTGTGGCCACCGTGGTTGCCACGTGGCCACTGAGGTTGGCTTTGTGGCCACTGCGGTGGTCGTGGGAGGCCACCACGGCCACCGTGAGGACGCTGTGTTTGCCAGGGGGAGAGGGGGAAGGGGGACCACCACCGTCGATGTTTGGCCACCAAGGGGCCACTGTTGATGTCCCCCCATGGTCAGCACGTGATGTCATCACTGCGGTCACATGACGTCATTGCCCTGTCATCGGTGTCACCCCACCCCCCTCCCCCAACATCGCTGCCCCACCGTGACCTCAAAACACGCACGGTGACGTCACGGTGACGTCACAGTGACGTCACAGTGGGCTCTCCCACCCCACGGAAAAGGCTCTTTTCTCCCCTTTTTTTTTTGGTTGTTTCTTGTAGAAACTCGGGGTTTGTGTGTCCGGGTTGGGGGGGACTCCCCTTGGGGGGGAGTTCCTTTCACTGCCCCCTCCCCCTCCCGGCTCTGTACATATTCTTGGGGGGGTGTAAATAGCTGTACATGCCCTTCCCCCTGTACATATGTTGATACGGGGGCGCCCCCGGGTCCCCCCTTTTTATAAAGTGGCCACTGAGCTTTGGGACGGCCTCAAGAGCGTTTCTTTCGGGGGGAGGGGGTGGTCCCAAGGGTGTGAGACAGGGATTTGAGGCCAGTGGGATTTGGGTAGTCCTGAGGGGGTTGTTGAGGGGGCTTGGGAGGGGTTGAGGGACCTGGGAAGTGTTGGGGGGGTCCCGGGGAGGGGTTCGGGGGGTCCGGGGCAGATGTTGGGGGTGATCCCAAGCCACCTTTTCACCTGGTTGGGGTCTTGGGGGGTTCCAGGGGGGCAGTTATGGGGGTCCCAGGGGTTACTCGGGGGCCTGAGGGGGAATTGGGAGGTCCCCGGGGGGGTCCCAGAGGGTCTTGGGGGGTCGGGGACGGGGGGGTGTCAGAGATCCGGGTGGGTCAGAGGTGACCTGAGGGGGGGTGGGGGGGGCGTCAGAGGTGACAGATCAGCCCCGGGGGGGTGTGTGGGAGTGTGTCAGAGGCCCCCTCAGGGGCTGCCCTCCCCCTGGCCCCCTCAACCCCTGAGGGACCCCAAATATTCCCTGGGACCTCCTCCCTCCCCCCTTCCTGCTTGAGACCTTCCCAGGAGCCTCCACTACCCCCCCTCAGAGACCCCCCTAGTGTGCCCTGGGACCCTCTGAGACCCCTCTGATGACCCCTGGGACCTCCTGAGACCCCTCCAATGACCCCCTGAGACACCCCCACTCCAGTTATCACTGGGAACTTCCTGAGACACCCCCCTCACCACCACAAGTGACCTTTGACCCCATTGACCAGTTGTCAATAAACGGTCAAATCAGCAACGGAACCAACTCCAGTGTAACCAGTATGGGAAGTGGGAGGGGACTGGAAGTGAGATATTTTATGAATTCATTTTGATTTTATTTTTAATGGGAGCACGGGGGATGAGATGGGGAGGGCAGTGAGGGCACTTGGGAGACACGGGGATGGGAACTGGGGAGGGATGGGGATGCACGGGGATGGAATTAGGGCAGGGTTCTTCTTTAAGGAAGAAAAGACCCTCAGCCCCTCCACCCATGTGTGCCCCCTTGACCACACGACACCGAAAAACTCCATTTAACTCTAAAGTGTCCCCCCCCCGCTCTGATTGGCTCTTGCTGCCAATCCCAGGACTTTTCAGGGTCACTGCGAGCTCTGTCTTTGTCCCCCCGATGCTTTTCTGGGTCCCCCTGAAGCTGAAATTGGGTCCGTCCGACTCCCAGAATTCAATAGGGATGAAGATTCCTCCCAGAAGAAAGGTGCCAGGACAGAGAGCTCTTGCTGCCCATGGAATGCCCAGGGTGGCCCACAACCTGCACCCGAGACATCGAGGGGAAGGGCTTTTTTTTTCCCTGTGGTAATACGGCTGTTGTTCGCTTGCAGGAGCCCTGCGCTGGAATTGCCAGTCCAACTCCCAAAACTGAACACAGACCAAGACTCCTCCCTGACAAAATGGGCCAGGACAGAAAGGTCTTGCTGCTTACGTAGTGCACAGGGTCCCTGAAGCACTGGACTGTCTGTGAGAAGGTGGCAGACCCC